TCTCTGATGCCTCACAAGGAGCAAATAACTTCCGGCATGGGTTACCTTGATCCCAGATTGCATATACACATTTAGTGATTTGGGGACTTCGGAGATCATGGCTCTACTCTACAACTTTGTGACTAATCAACAATTGAGACTCTGTCCTGTGCATAATTTGTCTCAGAAGACCCACCCCTCAAATCTCATAAATCAGATCTCAGAATTTATTCAGGGCTCTGGGGTTAAAATATTTTTTTTTTGAAAATAATTGTGTTTCAATATGTTTTACATGTCAGTTTGGGAAGTTGACATCTTCTTCACTACAGGGTTTTTCAAAAATGATTTACGGTGGGCAAATAAAATTTGTCATCTCCCCAAATTTATCAATATATTTACAATAGGAAAGCTTCAGGGTTTCAATAAAACACTATGCAATGAAGCCAATAAAAAAGGAACTTGAATGCATATTTTTCCTACATACCTAAGCATCTGTTCCAACTTCTGCCTCCTAAAACTGTTGCTTATTTTGTTTCAGCTTTAACCCTTAAAAATAGTAAAAGAATGATCTGGCTTGGAATGTTCATTACTTCAACAGCAGGAGTCAAGTTAATCTGCTTCACACCCCATGTCAGGCTTACTTTGCTCCGTGCTTAAGATACTTAAAAAAGGTCTCTTGGAGGGAGCAATGTTGATCTAGAACTTGGGGTCCCTTGGGGGCATAGACCGGGCATAGATCTTAGGCGGAGCATGATTTAGCCACATTTTTCTGAATCAAAAGGCAGCTCTACTCCAGAGTGACCTTGGGGAAGTAATTTCTTCCTCCTGAGATGCAGATATACACGATAGAGGGCGGCTGCACTTGTTATAAATATCTTGTAAGGTAGGCACAATGCTGCACTGTAACTCCTGAAGCCAGAAAGCCGGGAAAGAGAGGGCTTATGTGACCTTTCGAGAATACGCTGTTCACCCCAAGGAGCTGTGAGTAATTAAAACAGAGAGTTAGCACTTCTCACCAGAGGGATCGATTTACTCTGAATAGCCCAAAGCTTTTTATCACTTGTTATGGTACTCTGGCTCTGGACAAGGGAGGGGTGGAGCACGGGAGACCCAGTGAGGGCAGGTTGAATAAGGAGCAGTAATCTGAGAAGGAAAAACAGAAATGGAGCGAGGAATGAAGGGAGGAAAGAAAGAAGAGCAGGCTTCGGGAGGCCCCCTTGCACTTACTGGCAGTCCTCGGCTCCAAGCCTCAGAGGGCAGGTGGCTATTTCAGTCCGTTCCCATTATAGAAGCAGATCCCCATGTTGCCCCGAGGAAGCCTGCACAAACTGGAACTGACAGCCACTCTTCGTGTCATTTTCTTTCTCGCCAACCTGCACTGACTCCCACACTTCATTTTGCTTTTAAGGACACTCTGGTGTTCACCTTTATCCCTTCTACACAAGTTCTGGCTATGCCCCAACCGTCTTCCCCAGCCAGGCTGCCCTCCTGGCTGCAAGTTCCATACCCACACCCCTTTTCCTTACTCTATTGTTTTCCCTCCTTCCCTCCTTTACATACACCCCAAACATCTCCATCCTATTAGGTCAAGATATAATTTATTTCATAATAATGATTTCCATTGCATAAAGCCTTGTACCAAACATTTAAACATGCACCATCACACCTGACTCGTTGTGTCCCGGGAGAGTTCCTTGATTGTCTTGGCCCATGTCCATCGCTCCCGTGTTCTGTCTCCCACAGCATTTGTTCACCGACGCAGCTCCACAGAATCAGCCTCTAGGGATGGAAGGCCGTAGCACTCTACATTTTCAACAAGCTCCCCTAGAGAAACTGGAATTAGAGTGACCTAAGGAGGCAGAATTTTGACTATGGATATTTACCTTGTATTTTTGCATGATGTTTATACATTTTTACCATGATCATGTACAACTTTTATAAGAACAATTAGTGTGTGGGGGGGTCATATATATTTTTGTAATATGATTTTGATAGTATGGGAACCATAAGTCCATATCGGTCACAAGGATTCAGACACATGCCTTCTTGCATTTCTTAGGCCTCCAACAAGGTTGAAAGGTACTCAAGAGCAAGAACTGGCCCCTGTGACAGAAAGGCCAGGCTCGAAGCAGGTGGTTCATAAATACTGGAATGGGTTTAAAGAGACCCAAGAAAACAGGAAAAAATTGAATAGGGTCACATGGGACATGGGACATTTGAATAAAAAAGAAAACTTTTTAATTAGTGGATTAAAGAAATATGTATTAGTAAGACAGAAAAAAATATTCAGGTGACATCACAGACCAGGGGATGACTTCAGATCAGCATCACTGTTTTGCTTTAGATCTGGAAGCAAAGGATCTTCGGAAGCATCAGTAAACTAGCAGCATGTAGATACCACGAGGTGATGCTCTCCTTTTAATCTGACTCATTCTTGAAGTGGTGTGTTCCATTATAAAATCTATAGCTAAACAAGAAATTTGGGTCATTGGAGAGAGTTAAGAAAAGAACCAAAAGCCCCATACTTTGCTGGTGGGAAGGTAAAATGATGCAACGCTTTGGAAAACAGTCTCAGCTTCTTCAAAAAGTTAAACATAGAGTTAGAATATAACCCAGCAAATTCACTTCTAGGAATATACTCAAGAGAACTGAAAATATACAAAGACGTGGACACAAATGTTCACAGCAGTACTCATACTAGCCGCTGGATAACCGTGACGACCGATAAACCAACAAAACATGGTACAGCCAAACGATAGAATATTATTTGTCCCTGCAAAGGAATGCTATCACATAGATGAACCGACCTTGAAAACATGCTAGTGCAAAAAGCCAGACACAAAAGACCCCGTGTTCTATAATTCCATTTAAAATAAAATTTCCAGGGGCGCCTGGGTGGCTCAGTCGTTGAGCGTCTGCCTTCGGCTCGGGTCATGATCTCGGGGTCCTGGGATCGAGCCCCGCATCGGGCTCCCTGCTCAGCGGGAAGCCTGCTTCTCCCTCTCCCACTCCCCCTGCTTGTGTTCCCTCTCTCGCTGTGTCTCTCTCTGTCAAATAAATAAATAAAATCTTTAAAATAAATAAATAAATAAAATAAAATTTCCAGAATTGGCAAACCCATAGAGACAGAAAGTGGATTCGAGATTGCCAGGGGCTGGGAGGAAGGGGGTGGGAAGTGGCTACCAGTGGGTATAGAATTCCAGAATTAGACAGTGGTGATGGTCACACAATTCTGGAAAGGTACTAAAAGCTGCTGAATTGTACACTTTCAAAGTGTAAATTTTATGGTATGTGAATTATATTCCAATAGAGCTGTTACTTTTTTTTTTAAATAAAAAAAGTCAAGAGGATGCCTGGCTCTCTCAGTTGGAAGAGTGTGTGACTCTTGATCTTGGGGTTGTGAGTTCAAGTCCCACTTTGGGTGTAGAGATTACTTTTTAAAAATTAATTTAAAAAAATTTTAGGGGCGCCTGGGTGGCTCAGTCGTTAAGCGTCTGCCTTCGGCTCAGGTCATGATCTCAGGGTCCTGGGATCGAGCCCCGCATCGGGCTCCCTGCTCTGCGGGAAGCCTGCTTCTCGCTCTCCCACTCCCCCTGCTTGTGTTCCCTCTCTCGCTGTCTCTCTCTGTCAAATAAATAAATAAAATCTTTAAAAAAAAATTTTTTTTTTTAAAACAAAGTCAAGTGGAACATGGGGAGGGGGGAATCTAGACAGCAGACCCTCCAAAGAATGTTAAAAAAATAAAAATAAAAAAGGAAGACAAGGAAGCAGTTTTACTAAGGGCTGCTTTTTCAGGCATAGTTGACTTTTTGAACTTTTTTAATTAATAAAAAAATAGGATGGCTGGCTGAGGAGAAAATTAGAAGACAGAGATCATAAACACAGCCTCGGGGGTCTAGTGTAGACACAAAGTTTTCCTACCAAGAGAAGTTGGAATAAGAAGTGTTCACATCGCTCCTTTCTCGGTGGTCTTAAATTGTGCTTAGAATAGGTTGTACGTGTGCAGGACGATGTGTGGGAGCCCTTTCTGAAATGGGAGAGGGATGAACTTGATGACCTTGCAGCTTTTTCTGTCTCTCAGAACGCAGCTCGTCCTCCGCGCTCGGTATCACATGCTGCCACCATACGTTGGTCTCAGTGAAACAGGAAAGGACACACTACCATTTCTTGAGAAGTTTTATTTGGCTGCTCTATTCCGTCACAAACATACATTCCTCCTAAGACTGTGACAGTCTTCTCTTCTAAACAATTAACTTTTTATTTAAAAACAAACAAACAAACAACAACAACAACTCATAGCTGCACTTACAACCCATTAGTTCAATCATCTGTGTCAAGAAAGTCAATTCAGGTTATGTATAACTACTTCTACACAGCTTATTAATATGAATACCTAGAATGTACTTGGCCTGGTGGAGAGTTTTCAAACCTCCATAAGCCTTTGAATTCAGTTGTACTTGAGAAATAAAATGAGATCATCCTCACTCATCTTTTCCAGGCGTGGAAACATTTGCGCTAAGGACCCCCCACCCGCTGGCTTCCCAATGCTCCTCCGGGTTCACCCAGCCCAGTCTCTGCCCGGGACCCGGATTCCAGTGCAAATAAACCAACTGAGAGACATGCTCAGAACGAGGAATGCCCTTCATGGTGCTGTGACCAGATTCATTTCAGATCCTTTCCATTCTTTATTCTCTGGTTGGGTGGGAGAGCGCTTCATTTTATGGCAAAGTTTGTGTCAGTGCTGATGCTCTTGCTTTCACCATCGCACACGTTCAGCAATATTCATTCACCGAGGAAACATGGAAATTCAAGCCCTCCTATTTTGGGAGGGTGTTATAAACCTTCATCTCCAATATCCTTCAAATGCTTTTAACCTAACAGCATGTTTAATAAATGAGGGATTGGAAGTCTAGGACCAGGTGCTGTTAAAACTTGGTTTGTTGAGAGCATTGACTAAAGAGAATTCCTCACCAAGACATGCTGCACTTCACCTCCTCAGGAGGGGCTCCTGCCCCCCTCTGCTAAGCAAGGGCATGGTCAAACTGCCCCTTCTCCAGCCCTTCAAGTCCATCGGCCCAGGTTGAGGTTGGCATGCTCCGATACGGGTCCAGAAGGATCCGGAAGCACCTGACAATGAGGATGCCCAAGAAAATGAACAACAAAATCACAAACACAAATGTGGTTTTCTGCTCTAGAGACATGCTAGAATCTGCCGACACGTCCTCAAGGGGCACTAGGGGTGAAGGGACGGGCTGTCCTCCATCCATCGTCCAGAGAAGCAGGAGCACGGGATCGCCCAGTTTCCTTCTCTTCCATCATCAGTCTGCTGAGATCATGGTGGCTGCCCCGTGGAGACGCTGAGTTATCTGCAGGAGAAAGAAAGGGAAGGAGAGGGGATAACTACCAAAGAGCAACTGGATTTCTAAGCTCACAGGTCCTGTTCGCCAGAGAAAACGAGGAATCTCTAAACTTTTTCACCAGATGTGCTACGTTCTGTGTCATTATGGGAAAGAATATTTTACTCTTGCATGAAATTACCAGATTGTCCTCAGGGCAGGCACCTGGGGCCAGGAGGGCTGAGCAGGGAAGACAGAGTACAGAAGATGAGAAATGTGCAAGGTAATGTTGACCTCAGGGTGTGCTGCCAACTTGACATCCAAACCCAGTGTCCCCTGCCAAGTCTCTTCCAGAATCCCTCCAATAATATGACTTTCACATCATTCTCATAATGATACCATTGATGGAACCTCAGCTATGTGCCAAGACTGTAGCTAAACACAACATAGGTTAGCCACTCTACCACGAGCTCCGAGACAGCAGAGACCTCTATAGCCCCGGTGGAAGGAAACTGAGGCTGGAAATGGTGCTTAGCAGAGAAACCCTCAGGGAGTATCGGATTCTGGGCCCTGGTCTCTGGCCTCCATTTTACTGCTCAATGAGTATGGGCCTTTGGAGGGCTCACGAAGCCGTAAAAATGGAATCAGAAATGTCTGTGTATCTCATTCACGGTACCATAATGAGGATGGATGTCTGCGAAAACACTTTGAAAAGTATACAGAAAAGAAAAACAAACAAAACGAAGAGTTGCTTTGCTTCAGACATGGCCGTGGAAGCCAGGATGCTTCTCCTTTGCTTTCTCTTGCCTGGGCCAAGGGAGAAAGGAGGCATCTCAGACTCCCAGACCACCAAGCTCCAGCTGCTTTTCTTTTTTCTTCAGAAAACAAAGACCAGGTTCAATACTTGACCCCGAGAAGCACCTTGAGAATTGAGCTAGGGAGAAGGAATTGATTGGCTGCATTTTTTAAAAAAGCTTCACAGTAGCTTCCTACTGCTTAAGACCATTTCCATTTTACTGGTGGAAAAATGAAGATATATGGATATTACTGTTTGTCTTTAAAGGCAAGTTGGAGTAGTATAGACAAAGGCCATGAAAACTTCAGATGTTGAACTAAATCTATGTATGAGTCTGTTTATAAGAAAAATTGCGTAGGAGAGTAGTCAGCTATGGGAATTAACATGGATTCAAAAGAAATGATGTTCAATGAAAATAAGCAACCAAATAAAAATAGAAATTATGACCCAAAGCTCGAACACAATATTTCTACTGTTAACTTCTTTTTTTTTTTTAAAGATTTTATTTATTTATTTGAGAGAGAGAGAGAGAGAGAGAGCACATGAGAGGGGGCAGGGGCAGAGGGAGAAGCAGGCTCCTCGCCGAGCAGGGAGCCCGATGCGGGACTCGATCCCGGGACTCCAGGATCGTGACCTGAGCCGAAGGCAGTCGCTTAACCAACTGAGCCACCCAGGTGCCCTCTACTGTTAACTTCTAATTGTTGCCTTGAAGTATAGCGTTCGTGATCATAATAACAGTTTGCGTGTGTGTTGACACTTCAGAGTTTATAAAATCACAGTTTAAGACACAGTTTATAAAGGGATTTACAACCAGTGTCTGGAAGGAAGGAGTTACCAATTTGGGGGGAAAGAATATCTTGCAGCTCTGTGACTACATTTTGTTTAAGGCTGAAATAGTTGCGGTAGATTGGCTTATCATTCATTTCTGTTTTGAAGCAAGATTGGGATAAAATTTGATGGTGTTTCTTAAAAAGAAGCTCCTTAGGGATATAGAGGATGCTGATGGATTGGGTTGGGTTTGGTTTGCTTGTTTTTAAGCACCCTCCCGCCCTTGGGTGTTAACTCTCGACAGATAACGAGGCTGAGGGGAGGGGACAGGAAAGGGTGGCCAGAGCTTCCAACACAGGAACCCCTAGTGCTTCCAGTAAGGGCCGTTTGCACACCCAAGAAATATCCAAACTAGGCTTGTTCACACTGAGTATAAAATTCACCACGGGCTGGGTGCAAAGAAAGTCATGTGCTGCTCAAAGAATGAATACCTAAGCCGTCCTGCCATGTTCCCGTTTGTCCTTCCATGTCCTACTGAGCATCCCACCCCTTTGAGCCTGCCCTCCCCACGGACTTACTTAGAGTCCCACTCTATGTCCATTTTCCCTCCAGCCCAAATGAGGCCAGAGTCCCTTTCTTTGTCTCTTCTTAACACGGCCGAGATAGCTACGCATTTTCAGGACGTTCTGTACGAAAACATGATGTAATCCAGAAAGGAATTAGAGGAAAACTGAAGCCCATTAACTGTATAAACATATGACCATAAAGATTTCTGGATCTGTGAAGTTCATTGAAAACAGTGAACAACTAGACATAGGACAATTTGAGCCTGTGATGACTCCCTAGCCACAAGCTGGGGGGCCAAAAGAGCAATACCTTATTCAGTCCTCCCCTTCTCACCCCCGGTGTCCGCTTGATGAGAGCCATCTTGACGCCCAGGAGCAGTCTTCCCCAGCCTTGTCGTTCGTCCAAGGCAAAATGCCAATTCCTTTTCTCCTAGCTCATCATCTCACACTGCCTAGGCTTCCTCCTAACTCATGTTTTTGAGCTGGTCCACCATTCATGGGGGGTCTGCGGGGAGGGGCGAGCATTCCAAGAAGCCCCAGCAAGTAACCTAGTCATCCTGATTCAGGTTATCAGCCCCATTTCCCTCTTCCGTCTCCCTGTAAATGAGTCTGGAGCCTGGCTTCTTCCCAGGGAAGCCAACCCTTAGAATGATATAAAAATCAGTTTTAATTTGCAGTGATACCACCCTATGCTGATTAAAAAACAGATGCAAGAATATGGTTAACCCTCTCTGCAGCCTCCTCACAGGTTTTGAGAAGCCTGCTAAAACATAAATACATACCCTCCAACCCCTTCCTGATAAACTTAGCAAGGATTTGTCTGGGAAAACTGCTCTTACTTGAAGGAGGGGAAATGTGGTAGATAGTAAGGGGGCTGATGGGTCTTGCTGGAAATGAGGGGCCGCTGGGGTTTGGGGGAGCAGACATGGGGCGCTGAAGGCCGATGGCCCAGTAGGGAAGTCCTGGGGAGGGTGGGGGATGGGTGGTACAGATGAGACGATCCGGAGATGGTTAGAAAGAGATATGGGGATACGGAGACCCAGGAAGAAAAGCCGGCTCTTTCACAGCTTTGCCTGGGACTGATTGAAATCCCTCGAAGAGCCTGCTTGATTTTAAACCCGCGATCCGCTAATCAGTAATTTACAAATTGGGAAAGCTCCACAGCACATTTAAGTTAAAGGCAGCAATGGATAGAGGAAGAGGCAGAAAAAGAGATAAATGTAATCACTTAGCTACCACAGTCCCCAAATATTCAAAGACAGCAAAATTTTTAAAATGTCTGCCTTGGAGTGAAATGTCCCCTTTTGGCAAAAATGATCCTTGTAAAATGTTCACGACGGCTTCTACCTGAATAATGAAATCTTCCTTTCAGACGAATAGAGAAATCTGGGCAAGTAAACTATTTCAAAGGACTTCCGACATAACCGTCCTGTTAATAATAACCAAAGGCGGTTCTTTCAAGTACGAGAGGACCGCAGTTACTCACGGCCGTATTTCGATCCTAACTGGCTTCCCCATCACACGGCGCATGCATGTCTTCCCTGGACCTCCATCTGTGTGTGCTCAGAACACAATAAAGGCTCATTTTAATACTGGACCAAGGAAAACTGAATTAAAAGAAGCCAATCTCAAAAATCCTGTAACACATCCCCAGAGTCAAGCGCCCTGGACTCTGTGATCGTCACAAAGTGTAAAACCCTCTGCATCACCTACAAAGCCCCTGATGAGCAGTTCAGCTCGACCCTAGCCACTGTCACTCTCAGCCCCTAGCCCCACTTAAAATAATTTACAAAGAGGCCTCTCTTTCTTTCCTCATGCTTCCGACATACTGCGCCATGATCCATCCTCCTCAGCTCAGATCTTACCACTTCTTCCCTCCAGAAAACCTTGGTGCCCCAACGTCCAAGGACCCTAACGGCCCACTGAGTCCCTCCCGGACCCGAGAGTCCTATTGCCTGGACGATAAATTAGGTCATACTCCGACGATGGAATTTTTGTAAGATAGGAATTTCTTTTTCTCCTAAGTTCAAACAGGAACAAAGATCAAATCGCATTTGGTTTGGAGTACAAGGACCAAGAAGAACAGACTTACATGGGATGGAGTCTGCAGACACCTGAGGAGGCCGTCCTCACTTGGTCTGCTCTGCAGCTCAACCTAACACGAGCTGTTGCTTGAACCCCGCCAGGTTTCCCACCTCTGAGCTTTTAGTCATGACGCTCTCTGCCTGAAGCCCTCCTCCTCCCTCTATTCCCGCCTGTGGGTTTCGCTCCCTCCCTCCCAGGGTTCGCACCAAATGCCACCTCCTCGGTGGGGCCTCCGTCTCTCCCTGCACCAGAGGGATGGGGCGCTTCCGGCTCTGGCCCCCCCAGGAGCCCTGCACCTGCTTTCTGTGGCAGCACCTCTCACAGGACCCGTCTCCACAGGGTGTTCAACTCGGTCCCCTTACTAAATAGCAACCTCCTTGAGGAATTGCTGGCTGTTCTGGGGTCACTGCCTTTTTTTTAAAATAGAGGTTGAATCAAATCTCCGGCCCCTTACAATCCAAGGAACTGAATTCAAACTTTGAGGTACCAGCTGAGACAAAGAAGGGGTAAAAAAGCCCATATCATCCAGCCAGCCTGGGATGTCAGACCATTGTGTTCGAAGTAGATCTTATTTCAAAGAATCACAGATAGTCTGAGTCACAGTGACACTTTAATAGTCTCCGATTTCATGATTTGAAAAGCTGTTATTTGCCTTTTTAAATTGTCCTTGGCTTCAAGGCTGATGGGTCGGGTCCCATCAAATACAAAAATTAACGGTGGCCCTTCTGTTTCAGGGCTCAAGCCTTTCGGAGCTAACTGGCTTTGCTGCTGGGGAAGAACAGCCGTTTAAAATATCCCGAAGCCAGATGTCTTACCTGGAAACCGTAAGTGTCAACATGTAGCCTTCCCAAGCTTGGATCCTTTGGACATTTCATTTTGTTAGCGTCGTATTATACAACTTAACCGTAAGGGAAATTATCTTATCTGAAGAAAACAGACCTTAAAGCAATGATATATTGCTTTTCTTATTTTTAAAGTGACAGCAACAGAATTAGTTTGGTGCCTTTGGCACCTTGCTCTGTGGAGCTGCCCACAGGCATTTGGTCCCACCCTCTCACTTTCGTGGCCATCAGCTCATGGACCCCCGCCCCCCCGCCCTTCCACAATGGGTTGCAACTATGGGTCATAGTTATAACCGAGGCAGTGCATGTGAAGTCCTGCCTAGCACATCGTGAACGTTCAATAAATCCGTGAGGATGAATGAGCGTTTCCTCTTTCTACCATTTCTGTGCAAAATGAGGGTTCTTTCTCATTTCTATTACGCAAACAAGCACACTGGGGAATGGAGATTATAAGTAAACTGCCCCAAATCATAAAAATCCGTTACCAGAAGAGAAGCATTCCCCAAAGGCTGCTGACTCGCAAGTTTCTCTCCAGCGTGTAGGAATGAGTAGCAAGTCAGCCATCCCCCAGCTGCTAATGGTGTGCAGGGCGCAGTGAAGCAATACTGTATTTTAAGTACCTCTAAACCACTTAAATGCCACACCTCATTTTTTAAAAACTTCTAGGCCAGAAACCTAGTTCTGTGACTTGACGTGTTTTCAAAAGTAGACGCAAAAACAGTGGGTCTGTTGAACAAGAACACCCACAGGTTTGTAGAGTTTACATTCGCATGTGATGGACAGGACACACTTCGTCCTACAAAGACATCCCGTGTATCTTATTTATATTTATCTGGCAGACTGGTGAGACCACTCTGCAGACTGTACCAGGAAGGGAATTGGCTAAGTAGGCAAGACTGAATTTGCAATGACTAGCAGAGTCGAAGTTCCTCCGAGTGCTGCATTATTCTGCAACAGTTCTGAAACTGACTGTTGAAATGTTAACATGCCTTTCAATGATTAACGTAATACATATGCTGAGAGTGAGGCTAAAGAGAATCATCTCTGCTTTTTGAGCTAAACAAAGCCTCAGCTGCATTGCTGTTTGCATAAGTAGAGTCTCTGGAGATATACTCCACCCTCCATCCCAGCCCTCCCACCCCAGACGTGTAAACATCCCAGTCGACCCTATTACATATCTTCCCCTATTAACCGTGAGCCTCCCCAAAAAAGCTACCTCATCTAAGGAATCAAATCACTATATAAACAAAAGTTATTACCTATGAATCTTGTGGAACTACTGTGTATGAGCCCAGGGAACAGTGATTTGCATTCCAGGATATACACACAAGGAGGCAAAATATTTCCTATAAATTCAAAGAACTCATGGCCCTCTTGGTGACCAGCCCAGAAATTCAGGTAAAGATTTCCTGGCTCTTTCTAGGTACTTCCTATATTTTAACCAACATATAGTTCCCTTTTTTTTCCCTCACATAAATACATGGCAAGTTCCATATTTTTCTCTTCTGAATACAGCCCTCTTGATCCAGTACAATAGCCCTGATGCTCCAGAATTCACAGGATGGCTAAGGACAGAGATAGAACTTTATACAGCCAACAAATAGACCCAGGCTACTAGAAAGCCCCAAAACAATGGCTTGACACACTAGTAAATGTGGTCAGCTACAAATGTCAACAGGCAGTTTCGGAACTGTCGCCCGCCCCCACTGCTGCACAGGGAGGTCCGTTCCCTCGGGCTGTCACTGCCCAGTCAGCCTGCACATGTCTGCTTGGGTTGGGGAGTGGACCCCTCTCGGTCCTGGCTTGCCAGCTCTGGGTCAGCAGGAGACCTTTCTCTTCAGCCTGAGCCCTAACCTCAGCTTTACTTCTTCCCTGTCTTCATCTTCCTCCCAACATCTGCTAGAAGAGTTTTAAAGGGACTGCAGGGCGAGGCTACAGCCTGGCTGAGAACCTCAGGAAAATCCCACGTGAGTGCCGCATCGGGAACTGGGGGTACCAAAAGGCACCACTAGCAAACTGGAACTTTTCTGTTCAAACGATAAACCTTACTGTTATCCCCGGCTTGCCTTCTCTGTCCTTGCGTGTTTCCTAGCGAACAAGAGTGCTTGCTGATACCTCAAAAGGATAGGGCTGCACCGTGCTTGCCACCCAGGGACACCAGGGACAGTCGGCGTTATCACTGGGAGTTGTTGAGTTGTGATCCTTTGTGAACAAATTAAAACATCCCCGTAACATTTTGGAAGGCTGGATGTTTTAGGTGAATGGAGAAATAACTGTAATGGGCAAATAGCTTTCAGGAACAATTTACTGCAGCTTAGCAAAGAACAGAGCCTGTTTTACTCCTCCTTTATCTAGTATTGGTAGCACTATAAACTTAAGCATGCTTTAAACATAAAGGCATCATTCCGTTTCACCCCCTCGCATTAACTTCACCTAGCAATTGTTTAATTAGACTTCATCTGACATCTAGATCTAAATTCAGAACTTGGATGCAAAAGGCATCCCTGCCATCATCGCTCACGCATACATGGTAAAGTTAGAAAAAAGCATTAATTAGCCCATCAAAGACACAGTGTTGGTCAAGTACCTGCATCTGGCTGAACAAACACTTGATCCATTTCCTGGTGGAACAGTTACAGGTAGTTACAAGCCTCTTTAGTTTCCATTCTTCCCGACCAGGCTGTGTTGAGGCAGGAGACTGGTATCTGCAAGCGGCTGATGGCACACCCCAGATCTAAAGCCGTCCTTTCAGCCTTAGAAACTTCCCATTAAAACCCCCGAGTTAAAGGAGCATCGTCTTTCTGTGTGAGGCATCATTAGCGGCCAATGCAGCTGCTGCTTTGTGGCAAGCCATGATTTCAGTTCTGCCTCCGCAACTCTTCAGAGGATTCTGCTTCAGTGAGTAGAGGCAGTGTCCTAGCAGTGAGTCGGAAATCATCTTCAAGAAAGCATTAACATTCAAAAGGAGTACGGGGGGCGGGGGCAGGGGGAGGGGGGGAGCAGAGAAACATCACCGGGCATTCCCATACCTTTTCAAAATCAAAGCCATAAATCTACCAATGTTCTGCTCTTCTCTACTGATTGCTGACACTATTCCTCTTCGGGGATGTCAATTAGCACCTTGCAGCAACCAGCCTCCATATTGATTATGGATTGTGACCTTCGGGCCAACTTAATTAAGGGGAAGACTCCTAAGGAAGGGCATCAACATAGTATTTGGGAAACAAAGGGAAGGCTCTTTTTCCTAAAGAAAACAAAATTGACCTTTCAGGAAAGCAGTAATTATGGGAGGCGAAGAGGAAAGAACAATTAAAAAAAAACCCCACAAAATCATATTTTTACCACCTGTTTGTAAATGTGCTAGGCTGTAGGTTGCCAGGTCCAGTGTATCTGTTGGTCAGCCTGTATGACTGTGACCTTGACAGGTACCCCACCCACGCAGGCCGTCAGAGACCACTGATGAATAAAGATAGACCTTTGGAGAGAGAAAGTTGTTCTAATTCTACAAATTCTAGTTACATGGCACAATACTTAAATTATTTTCCTTGGATGGAATGCCTAAATAAATTTGGAAAATGTTTTAGGATAAAATTCATCTTTAAAAAAAAAAAGTGCTTCTCTGGAAAGAATTCAGCACAATCCTTAAGATGGAACATCCTTGTTTTTTGGCAACTCACCACTTTCTTTGTTGAAGTAGAAGCGCAGTTAGCAACAACACCCACCCACCAAATGATGGGGTGCATGATATTTAAAGCTCACTCTGACTGTGCCTGTCAGCTTTGCTGTTTCTTCGCCTCTTGCGAGAAGCCGGCCATTACCCAGTAGCTGTAAGAGACTGGGAGAGAGCTCATTGTCTAGGAGGAAAATTTCCACCTGCCAGCAACAGACAACAATCCTGGATAGACCTCAGACCCCAGAAAACGTAAATGCCAAATGTTATGATCTAATGTCAGAATCAAATGCGTGACATTAGGAGCTAGCCTCACTCGAATATGAAGGTTCTCTCTCCATGTGTTTTCCAGATTTTTAACCGTATTTCCTTTCCAATGAGTTTCTCTGATTATATTTTCACACAAACACACACACGCACGCACGCACGCACAATGGGACAAATGGAATCCGACAGAGCACTATCATTCAATACTAACTGGTATCCTTTGTGCTCTTCAGCCGACGGCACTGTGGAGGGAGAGACCTGTCTCGGTAATGCCAACAGAGTGTGGCTCAGGGAACATTCTGACCCCACCCGGACTTATATACTTCTCATTCCATGGGGCGAGAAGGCACTCTAGTTAGAAATGAGCCGGAGTTACTGCGAGCTCATCCTGCCCGGGAGGCCTCCTCAGATCGTGTTTACCCTATAGACTCGGAGAGGTGGAAGGGAACATGAGAGGCTCCTCTGCAGGCTGAAACCGTCCCACAGAGACTGGCCTATTTTTAAAACTCCCCAGAGAATTAGATTCCATACCCCACTCTGACAACCTCTGTTGAAACTAACTTCTCCGTGGCTTCCTTAGTCTCAATGGGATGGTGCATTTCTTTTCATTCTACCCCGGTTGCAAAAAGTCAGTCATGAACCACCACACGATTTTGTGAGAATGCTCTTCCCCCGAGGAAGCTTGAACTAGGGAAACCAAAGGACATTTGGTGAAGATCCTGCAGCCAAGTTTGGATAGTTCTTTTATAAGATAATTGTAATTGAAATGATGGGAGTGAGCCCTTCCCCCCAGGCAGCCACATTATGGGACTCATCGAGAATTCTGGAACAGCAAATAAGGATTTATGAAAAGTCGAGTTCTTTGAACATCTCACAGTTGGTCCTATTTCTTTAGTCTTTAATGCTCTCTTTACCTCTCCTCTGAATTCTTCTCCAAATTTCTGCTTTCCGGTCCAGCTTTAAATCGAGAACCTAGAATGCTACACAGGGCTGTACAAAGCTCACCCTCACATGGATTTGTGGTGAATAGGATGACTTCACGCTATGCTTCTCTTACACATTCTGATCCCAGGGTTACTCCTGGGTGTTAATTCAGTCTTTCTTTTTAGCCACACAACATCCTGAGTCAATATTACTAGAAATCTATTTTAAGAACTTTCTCTATATTCTAATTTCAAGTCTCACCCTTGAATATTCTCTAGATTACAGTTCTTCCCTCAATGTCCCATGCTGCACTTTTTCATAAAGTAATGGACAATGAATATTTTTTTAAAAAGATGCTTCATGAGCCATCAAGCTTTATGCCAACACAAAGCTGTTGATATTAGCATTATCTTTATTGTATTTCTTTGTCGAATCCTCAAAATCAAATTGATTCTTATAGAATCTTCAAAACAGAAACCTGATTTTCTTTTCATGTTCATCACTAGGTTCTTGGTAAAAATCTAGTTTCTTCCTTCGTGTCCATTTTTCTTTCACGTAGTCAAGAAACATTCAATAAGTTCATTCACTCAGCATCAGATATGTTCTGTGTTGGGTGGGGGAAGAATGACAAATACGGGGAAGTCGGTGCCTACCTCTGTCTGTTCAGGTTGTCACTGCACAACTCTGGGAAGCTCCCTGGGAAGGACCCAGAGGGGCTCCACATCCAGCCGCAGGGGCCAAGCTTCTGGGCAGATAAGCCCACCTCCACTGTTTTCCACTCCCTCACCACCCCTTCCCTGCTCAGCCAGCAGACATCTGAATTATGTCCTCATTTCTCTACAGGACTTGATTTCCCAAGGTCATCTGTGGCTTCTCATTGTCTCAAGCAAAAAAAACAAAAAAACACAAACTTGCAGTATTGATCTTCCTCACTCTTTGTGGTAACACTGGGACATAGCTGACCACTGTCTTTAGGGAAGTGCTAGATAAAAAGACACACAGAGTAAGGTGGAGTGGCAGAACTGATATCTCAGCCCTCTTCTCTCTTGGTCTACCCCTCTCCCTGATGTCCCTTTGGCTCCTCTCCCTCCATAGTCTCTCATTCGCCCCTTAGAGGCTCAAGCCAAGTTTAACTCATGTAACCACCAGCAACTGTGAAATTAAGGGTGGAAAGACAGGCAGGCTAGGATACATATTAATGGGTCCCCCACTTTCAATTCATAAAAAAGCAGTGAAAGTCAGTTTCTGTGTTATTTCTATGTTTCTGTCCTCTTCATTTAAAAAAAAAAATAAATATATCATGTGATATAAAGGTTTTTTTTTAATCAAGATGAGCTCTAGTTCTAATATCCTTCTGCTTTGCCAGGTCTACATATATTTATCCACTCAGCTATCTTCACAGGTCAGTGAACATTCAAAGCACAAGGGAACGGTAGGGAAGGTTTAATAATATTCACACCAAGCCCATAAATTAGGATCTATATTCAAGCATTATTAAAAGCAAGCAGGTTAAAGTCCAACTGCAAATTAACAGCCTCCTGGTTTGATTTTTTTTTCCTTGAACGCATTTCTGTACACATCACTTCTGTAGAATGTTGAATGCTCAATTAGTAGCGAATGAATCTGGAACAGAGTAGTATTCGAAATGAAACGAGAAACAAACAATGCTGCAACTCAGTGGAAATGTATTTGGAAGGAAGGAAACACCCATAGAATGTAATACTTGCAAGTAATAAGGCTTGCCCTGTGAAATGAACAAGTTTGTTCATTTCTTTCCTTTTAAGTCAAAACAATAAAACATCAAGGAAGGAAATGCATCATGAAAAAGCTGATGTCCAACCCTGTTCTATTTAGAGACAATATTTGCAAACTTTGATATTAATTCTAATTACAGCATGAAAGTATTAGAACGTTACTATGGATTATTCACTGTTCAAAAGAAATTCATACCGAGGAGTTAACAGCCTGGTGGGTAAATTTATTCTTTTTATATGCCTTGTACAATAATGACAATTTTTTTAATGACTTTGAAATACTTAATACCTTTAAAATATCATATAAAGTGCCGATTAGAGTTTTATACATACCATCCCTCTCCATTTTTATGCTCTCATTTTGGCACTTCTTTCTGTTCAACAGCTGCTCTTTAGAAGGGACCTCTACTGTGTGGACACTTTGAGGATTGAGCAGATTAAAACATTAAGATGATTTAGAAAATGAAATAGAATGAGCCTGAGAATTACTGACCTGTTAGCCTGACTTTCATACCTGACAAAATTCTGGAACTAAAAATCTCACCACTGAAAATCAATTTGAAAACACCCAGAGGAGAAAACTAATCATACGAAGCAGTTTAAAAAATGCTGGTTAGGGGCGCCTGGGTGGACTCAGTCATTAAGCGGCTGCCTTCAGCTCAGGTCACGGTCCCAGGGTCCTGGGATCGAGCCCCGCATCAGGCTGTCTGCTCAGTGGGAAGCCTGCTTCTCCCTCTCCCACTCCCCCTGCTTGTGCTCTCTCTCTCGCTGTCTCTCTCTCTGTCAAAATAAATAAATAAAATCTTAAAAAATAATAATAATAAAAATAAAAATAAAAAATGCTGGTTAAAAAAATTTATGAAAAGCCAGTCTCAACTTCTGATATTTCAACTCATGGAAATGATGGAAAGGAGGCTGACGAATGAAAAAAATGGTCATAAACAGAAGTTATGATCTATGGTCTTTGGGCACAAATTCCAGTTGCCTCAATGCTACATCTTATGAATGATGTAATCAACAGCTGCTTGAAAAACCATTTAACTCTACATATGTTCCAGTAGTCCAGTGGGATCAATCAAAAGGTCCGGTCGTGTAGCATATTATTTTAAAAGGCAGACCCCGGGGGCGCCTGGGTGGCTCAGTGGATCAAGCCTCCAGCTCTTGATTTTAGCTCCGGTCATGATCTCAGGGTGGTAAGATTGAGCCCCGTGTCCAGCTCTGTGCTCGGAGAGGAATCCTCTTGAGATTCTCTCTCCCTCTTCCTCTGCTCCTCCCCCTGTTCTAAATTAATTAATTAATTAATTATATCTTTAGAAAAGAGTAACAGGCATTAAGATTAATTAATAGACGTTAAGAGTACATCTTCCTCTTCGATCCTGCATTTCAAACTTCGATAGCAGCCCACCATCTATGATTTTGCCTGCAAATAATATCTATTAAGTATTTAGCATGTGAATAGTCTCCATCCTCTGTATTTCTATTATATGTGATACTAAATTACCTCATGAGCTGGTTAAGCATGCA